CAGGGGTGCTGGACGCGCGGGGAGGCACCGTGGATTCCCTGAGGACAGCGTTCTCCGGGCTGTGGCCGAGGGCACGAACCCACACGCCCAGCGGCGCAAAGGGAAGGGGATCGGCTTTGAGCTGCCCCACTGACTTTGCGGGGGTCGTTTCTCTCCCCGAAAGCTTCTCTTGTGCCATTGGGGGAGTTGAGTCACGCGAAGAGTTGGACGGGATGGCTCACGCCTGTAAAACCAGCACTCGAGGAGGCTGAGGCAGCAAGGTCTAAAGCTCAAGCCCAGCCTGGCCAGTTTAGCGACTTAGTGAGACCCTGTCTCAAAAAGGGCTGGGGATTAGCTCAGTGCATAGGCCTTGGGTTCAATCCTCAGTGTGTGTGGGGGGGGCTGGGCACAGGCAGGATTTTGGGGGACCTCTAGGTGACCCTGTGGTCCAAGCACACACTCCCACATCTGTCCCATTTTCTTGGCACCTTTTACTGCCTGCCCTGCGCCCTGGACCAAAAGCCCCGAGAGCAGGCCCTGGTACCTCCTGTTTAGCTCGAAGGCCAGGCACACCGAACACCCTTGCCAAAAATTTGTCACAGGAGTGAGAAAGACTACCAACGAAACTGGCATACAGCAGACATATTATTTTACTTAGTTTTGTTTTTGAGGTAACATCCCACTATGTGGTGCAGGCTGGCCTCAGACTCCCTACCCTCCTGCCTCAGCCTCCCTAATGCTGGATTACAGACGTGTGCCACCGCACCCAGCGGTTTATTTATTTAGTTGTGAGACAGGGTCTCATTGTGTAGCCCAGCTAGTCCCGGGCAGCTCAAGGTGTAAAAGAAAGGTGCAGTCTCTCGGACCCCCACAGGACTCGGCCCATCCTGATTGGGGGGGTGGAGATGGCTGGGCGCGGTAGTCAGACTTTCACTTTAGGCCTGGCCGAGGTCGCGCTCAGGAGTCAACTTTTTGTCTTTATTTCTCTGGCCCCGCCCTCTTCCCACCCCATCCTGAACTGGGAAGCAAGGGTTAACTTTTAGGAAGCTCCTTCATCACCTGAATGGGGGGGGCGGCGGCAGGGAACTTCCTGTCCCATTTTCTTGGGAGTCCTTCCCTAGGCTGGTGGAAACTTGGCTCTGGTCCTGGAACACTCAGAGAATCCCAAACCATCTCCGCCTTTGTATTGGGGACCCGGAGTGGTGAGTTGGAAGCCTGTGGTATAGGTTCACGGCAGCGTGTGTGGGGGTGGTGGATCAGTCTTGGGAGGATGGCGGCGGGTGTTTGTGCTGGGGAACCTTGCTAGCCAGCGCCTAGGTCTCCGCAGATGGGGGATCAAGGAGGATCCCCACGTGTCCCCGGGTAAACCAGCCAGCCTCTTTCACTGAGCCCCGCCAACGAAAATGGGGCACCTGCAGTTGTGTGAGCGGAGGAAGGGATGTTCCTGCCAGAGGCTCCCACCCTTTGGCCTCCCTGGCTGTAGGCTCTGAGTTGTCGGTGTGGGTCTCATCGCAGGATCTCTACCGGGGCTGACCCTGCCCATGCTGCTCTACTTCTCTGCAGCACCCCAATTTAGGCTGGTTAGACTTCTGAGGGTGGCTGAAGGGCTCTCCTGCCCCCAGCCCGGCTGACCCCCTACAGATGTGCATATTAATAGAGCCTTTGTCCTGGAGACCTGGGAGGAGGGACAGACTCTTTAAAGGCAATTTGCTTGAATTCCACTTCTTGGAAACCTTTTGGGGAATCCTCACCTGGAGGGAGATTCCAGCCACCCTGAGTGGCTAGATATAAAGACTGGAATTTGGAATCCTCTTACTTCTCTGAGTCCTGCTGTGATATTCTAGCTAGGAAAATGGCAAGACCCAGAGGGATATCTGGGTTCTCAATGTTTCAAGAGATCTATGGGGTCTAGAATTACACTCTCACAAACAAGCTTGGCCACACCTGGTGTGACCATGAGCAACTTACTCTTGGTCTTTGCACTTGTTGGATAAAGAAATTATGAAGTGGGACCAGGGATTTAGCTCAGTGGTTCTGCTGCCTGTCTTGAAAGCACAAGGTCCTGAGTTTGACCCCCAGTACCAAAATAAAAAAGAAGAAAGAAAGAAAAGAAAAGAAGAAATCATGATGGAGTGTACCCATTGGCTGGAGCTTGAAGTAGGCCTCACTGGTGACCCAGCAGGTCACCCCCTGGGCCTGCCTGCTGCTGTTAAAGGGACTGCCGAAAAGGATTGGCTCTCTAGCTATTTCACATGTGCAAAACATTTTTTTCTTGCATTTATCAAAGGCCTTCTCTGCCCTGGACATTTTTCATTATCTTCCTCAGTTCTTAGCCTCTGAGGTAGGCATCATCACAGCTGTTTCCTTACCTCTACTCACACTTAACAGAAATCCCTTCTAGGGCTGAGTGAAATACTTGCTGAACTAGAAACAGTGCCTATTCAAAGACCAGGGGAAAGAAATACCCTCACCTGGGATTTCGCCCCAGCTACTGAGAGGTGATGTGCTGTGCGGTTCCAGAAGGGGGACACAGGGAGGGGAAGGAGGGACAGGGAATGTCCCAAGGAATCTGAGGACCAAGTACAACCTGGAGCTCAGGCTGGGCAGGCTTTGTGTGGGAGAGAGAGATGGGGCCTGGCTCCTGGTTTCAGTGTCAAATCCTCTCCCGTGTCCAGGTTTAAGGTCCAGGTTTCCTGTGTTCACTGCTGTCCCTCACCCTGTTCACACCACCTGAGGTTTTCGTTTTTTGGCAGAACTGAATTTAGGGCCTTCTTACTGAGCTAAGTCTCAAACGTTTTTTATTTTAATTTTGAGCTAGGGTCTCCCTAAATCTCCAAATTGCCCAGACTAGGGCCAGAGATTTAGCTCAACTTCACCACACTTGTCTTGCAAGTGCAAGGTCCTGAGTTCGATCCCCAGTACCAAAAATAAAATGAAATGCTCAGGCTGGGAGTGAATTTAATTAACTTTACTTCCTTCTCTTTTTTTTGAGACAGTATTTCGCTATGTAGTTCATGCTGACCTTGAACTCACTATGTATCCCAGGCTGATCTTCAACTCGAAGTGATCCTCTTGCCTGAGCCTCCCAAGTGCTGAGATTACACACATGCACCCTGAGTCCCATATAAAGGAGCGACCCCAACTCTTTAACTAGCCTGACCCTTCCTGGCCCTGCCCCTGAGGCTGGGTGTGTCTATACCTCAGAGCCTCAGTGTCCTCAGATAGTCAGTCTTACTGGTGTCCTACACAGTCCAGTTGAGAACAATAGCTAGTCGTTGGCTGGCACCAAGGTACCCCTAACGTATGCTGCTATGGTTGTGTGGCTCAGGTCTGAGCCGTGCAGGAGGGTGAGGATGCCGTTGGGGTGTGGGAGGATAGGCACGGCCAGGAGAGGTAACAACATCCTGTTCTGAGAAGGCTGATCCTCCTTGATAGCTCTGGGCTACCCAATAGAGGAAGAATTCTCACCGGTTGGGAAGAGGAGATGGGAGGAGGGGCCTGATTCTGCAGAACCAGGGTCCAGCCCCACCCATTACAGACATTTTTTCCTTTGCTAGCCAGACTCCACGTTAGGGTGCGTACACCTGAGAGGAGTGATGCAAGTAAGGAACATCCAGGATTGGGGTGGCTATGCCCTGGCTTTCAAGGCACACCCACTAGGGGGGCTCCTGCCTGCAAGCCAGACTTCCTCCCACCTGAAATACTGTCCATTCTGCCCAGATCCATGACCTTGACACTTCCAGAAACTCGACCGTAACACCCATTTTACAACTGACCTCAGTCCCTGGGGCTGGGGCTGGGGCTGTGGAAAGCAAGGACACTGGAGAGCCTAGCCTTGCCCTGCTCAGCTGAGAGGCCTTGGGCCAGAGCCAAAAAGCCAGGGTCTGGATGCCAGGCGTTAACTTTCCCCCAATCTTTTACTTTAAAAGTGCTCCAGCATCCAGAGAAATTGAAAGAACAACTCAATGAATTTTTTTTTTTTTTTGTATGAGGGATTGAACTCAGGACCTTGCGCTTGCAAGGCAGGCAGTAGAGCCATTGAGGTAACTCTCTGGTCCACTCGATATTTTCTTGTTTTGTTTAGTTTTGAGGCAGGGTCTCACTATGTAGTTGAGACTGACCTGGAACTCACTATGTAGCCCAGGCTGGTCTCGAACTCACAGTGATCCTCCTGCCTCAGCCTCCCGAGTGCTGGGATTACAGGTGTGCGCCACCACTCCCGGTTCCCTTGATAATTTCTATGTGTGTCTCATCAACCAAACCCTGTAGCTTTTTTTTTTTTTTTTTAACTGAGGATCAAATGAAGCCAGAGCCTTCACACTAAGGTACATCTCCAGCCCTTTTTATTTATTTATTATTATTTTTTGTATAGGGGATCGAACTCAGAACCTTGCACTTACAAGGAAGGCAATGGCAACCACTGAGCTAAATCCCCAGTTTAAAATAGGATCTTTCTAAGTGAAGTTGCCTGGGCTGGCCTCGAATTTACCATCCTCCTCCTGCCTCAGCCTCCCAGAATGTGGGGATTACAGGCAGCATGTGCCACCACACTCAGTGACAGCATGTTATACTGGAAACTGAGTACATCCACAAGACTAGCATCCCATCTAACAAATTCAGTCAACCTGAACTAGGAATTTAGCTCAGTGGTACTGTGCCTGCTTTGCAAGTGCAAGGTCCTGAGTTCGATCCCCAGAACCCCCCCAAAAATATTCACAGTCAATCTATGCCATCCATATTCGTATTTCCCCAACTGACTTTAAACTCTCTGTAAGAGCCTTTTCTTTTTTTTTGGTACCAGGGATTGAACTCGGATCCTTGCGCTTTCAAGGCAGGCCACCGAACCGCTGAGCTAAATCCTCGGCCCAT